CAAGACCATGCAAACCTCTAAAACCCATTAACAAGACCTTGTATTGCACTCTAACATCAGCAGGAAGCCTGCAGTGCAGAGAAGCCAGCACCGGAGAGATACTGCTGGAGCATTTCCTCGTGCCAGTCAGCAGTCTGGCCTCCGCATTTAGCATCAACAAGCACCAAGGTTCCTCGCTCGAGTGTGTGAACATTGGTGGGTAAAGGGCCACGGTGAAATGCAAGCTTTTCGGCTAACTCCGAGGGACCAAAGATCACTACTTCAGATTCAAATGGCACAAAAGCAGCTGCTAGGCTCCTGACTTGTGTTAGGAGGCATTAACATAATATCACCCTAATTTCATGACACTGGTTGCTGGTCCACTACAGAATGGATTTTAAAGGTCTATTAATGTTTTATACAGAAAATCTCTCAATGGCTTAGCAGCATCCTACCTCGCTGATCCCCTGTCAGAACAATGCTTGGGCAGGTCTCTGAGATCCTCAAACTGAGGATAGAGGATATCCTCTTCCTCTACCTTAGAGGATCCAAGGACCAGATTAAAACTGAGATGTGACCACCAAAAATTAGCAGTAGAAGCACCAATACTGGGGAACAGTAAGTGTTAGAGCTGTCACAACTGTAGATCATTTTAAATCAAAACTCAAAGCTTATTTGTTTTTCATAGCTATGTCTATTTTGTTGTTTATTGGATGTGTTTCTTTGTATTGGGTTTTAATCTACACTCACCTAAAGGATTATTAGGAACACCATACTAATACTGTGTTTGACCCCCTTTCGCCTTCAGAACTGCCTTAATTTTATGTGGCATTGATTCAACAAGGTGCTGAAAGCATTCTTTAGAAATGTTGGCCCATATTGATAGGATAGCATCTTGCAGTTGATGGAGATTTGTGGGATGCACATCCAGGGCACGAAGCTCCCGTTCCACCACATCCCAAAGATGCTCTATTGGGTTGAGATCTGGTGACTGTGGGGGCCATTTTAGTACAGTGAACTCATTGTCATGTTCAAGAAACGCATACTGGATGTTTTTCCCTTTTCACACCATTCTTTGTAAACCCTAGAAATGGTTGTGCGTGAAAATCCCAGTAACTGAGCAGATTGTGAAATACTCAGACCGGCCCGTCTGGCACCAACAATGCCACGCTCAAAATTGCTTAAATCACCTTTCTTTCCCATTCTGACATTCAGTTTGGAGTTCAGGAGATTGCCTTGACCAGGACCACACCCCTAAATGCATTGAAGCAACTGCCATATGATTGGTTGATTAGATAATTGCATTAATGAGAAATTGAACAGGTGTTCCTAATAATCCTTTAGGTGAGTGTATACTAGCAAGCAAGCAACTTTATTTATATAGCACATTTTTAAACAACAGACGTTGCCCCAAAGTGCTTTACAGAATAATAACATGAAAGTCATACAACAAAACAGACATACATTATTCAAAAGCTAAAGAGTACAAGTAGTTACAAGTAGTATGTAAGGCACATTGGTCAACAGCTGTTGATTTAATTGTGCTTTATAAATAAAGTGGTATTGACATTGACATGGTCCATCTGGGACATCCTCTTTGAAATTCAGAAAGAACAGCCCTGATTCTTGTCTCCTGAAGGACCGTCTGTTATAGGAACAACTGGGAGAAGTCCAGGTCATGCAGGATGCAGAGCCTTTCTTGCTGCTCTGCTCCACTAGACCTTTTCGTTCTGCCCTGTCTCTGTCAGTCTGAGAGAAGACAGGCTAAAAGGTTGCATTCTGCCAACCAAAGGAAAACCTCACACCAGAATGTAGTTCATTTGGATGATGTGAACGCTGTTTTCTGAAGTCAGGTATGCACACGTAAACATACTCAAATCCTGGTCAGGGGTACGGTTAATGAGAACTCTGGTATGGTTTGCTGCTGAGACGAATGAAAAAATTAAGATACATTTTTCACGAGCTGAACTCGAAGATCTAAAACTTTTTCTATGTACACAAAAGGCCTATTTCTCTCAAATATTGTTCACAAATCGTTCACTAAATCTGTGTTAGTGAGCACTTCTCCTTTGCCGAGATAATCCATCCACCTCACAGGTGTGGCATATCAAGATGCTGAATAGACAGCATGATTATTGCACAGGTGTGCACAGAGATACCGTGACGAGATCCTGAGGCCCATTGTTGTGCCATTAATCCACGACCATCACCTCATGTTGCAGCATGATAATGCATGGCCCCATGTTGCAAGGATCTGTACACAATTACTGGAAGCTGAAAACATCCCAGTTCTTGCATGGCCAGCATACTCACCGGACATGTCACCCATTGAGCATGTTTGGGATGCTCTGGATCGGCGTATACGACAGCGTGTTCCAGGTCCTGCCAATATCCAGCAACTTCGCACAGTCATTGAAGAGGAGTGGACCAACAGACCACAATCAACAACCTGATCAACTCTATGTGAAGGAGATGTGTTGCACTGCGTGAGGCAAATGGTGGTCACACCAGATACTGACTAGTTCCCCCCCCTCATGCTGTCTAATCAGCATCTTGATATGCCACACCTGTGAGGTGGATGGATTATCTCGGCAAAGGAGAAGTGCTCACTAACACAGATTTAGGCTATGTTTACACGGAAACGATCTGAAGAGAAAACGCAAAAGTGGCGTTGCGTTATCACTTTTTATTCTGCGTTTAGACGAGCGTTATGGTTGGGAAATCCGCGTGCACATGGTGACGCAAAAGTGTGTGAAATTCGATGTAGTATGCACTCCAGGCGGCTAGGTGGCAATGTGAAGCACTGCCACACAACAACACCAATATCTTAGAATATTTTGTACAACTGCTAAAAAGACTCTTGTATGTTTTTCAGAGCTGCTAGGGCAACTTGAAGGTCCGACGAATGGAAATAATCTGACATGTTGGTTGTTATTTTCCTGTACTAGCGCATGCCTGTGACGTAAACGCGTACGCGACGAGAGCCACCGTGAGCAGATTTGCGTTTTTACCGTTTAGACGGGAACGCGACGGTGGAGCGTTTTTAAGATTTCCACTTTGGAGGGTGGTTTCACTTTTTTGCGTTTTTAAGCCCCCAAAACGCCGTTGCCGTGTAAACGAAAGGCACATCCGATAAAATAGTTTTACGTTTTCACCCGGAATCGTTCTCGTGTAAACGGGGCCTTAGACAGATTTGTGAACAATATTCGAGAGAAATAGACCTTTTGTGTACGATTTCAGCTCATGAAAAATGGGGGGAAAAACAAGTGTTGCATTTATTGTTTTGTTCAGTGTATAAGCTAGTGTGCTCCAAAACAATGACAATATTCACATTTAGAAGATATAAGCTTTCAAAACTTAGTCTCTCACTTCCGCCAATATGGATCAATGATTTTGATGACATCACTGCCCTTCAGCTTCAGATTTTCTGTCCAATCAAATGCTCTCTAGAATTGGAAGCTTCATTATAAATAGACGCTGAACCTGCAGCTGAAATCGGTCACTCATTCACACATTACAACGCACAAACGTTACTTTTTTCTACATGGTGAATGGCACAGAGCACTTTATAGGGGATAGGGAACAATTCAGACATTGTAAATATGCTTTCCATTGGGGCGAATTAAGTATTTGCTACCTCCTATTAAAACAGTATAGCACAATTTGAGATTTTTGAAAAAAGTCTACCTATCAGATTTTACTACCAGCATCATTTTCATGTGGTTTGAGGCTTTATTAATGTCCATACCTACCCTAAGCCTACCTTTAAAACAATGCAAATATAGTGTTGGTAGAACAGTCTGATAGGTATTATTCGGCAAGCTGTGATATAAACTAAACGCTATTGGCTATTTTTAAAAGGGGAAGAGCTGTTTAATATGTCCCGCCCTGTCTTCCTGTTTCAGTGGAAATGATGTCAACACAATTAATAATGCTGCGCCTTTCAAGGCACTTCAGTGGGCCTTTTAATCAGATTGAGAAAGTAGTCGGAATAAACATTGGATTTAACACATTATTTAAGATCTACACCACACCTTTCAGTCGAATGGAGTTCAGTGGGATTGCTTGAAATGTTTACATGTTTTTTAATCAGACTGAACTGGCAATCCAATTAAAAACAGATTATTAGGTTGTATTTAAAAGTTGCCAGTGACAGGCCAAATGTGAGAAGCTGAAATTCTGGGTGAAGACAGTATCAAGTCCCACTGTTGCAAACCTCTTCTAAAGAGATTTTCATATTTATACTTGCCAGCATTAAGAAAAAAATAAAGATGTATCCTTTAAAACTGCTAACCAAGGCTGCATTTATTTGATAAAAAATCAATAAAAAACAGTAATATTGTGAAATATTATGACAATTTAAAATGATTATTTTCTATTTGAATATATTTTAAAATGTAATTTATTCCTCTGATGAAAGCATCATTACAACAGTCTTCAGTGTCACATGATCCTGAAATCCTTCTAATATGCTATTTTCAATGTTGAAAACAATCGTTTACAATTTTCTTTCAGAATCCTTTGATGAATAGAAAGTTCAAAAGAACAGCTTTTATTTAAAATATAATCTTTTCTAACATTATAAATGTCTTTACTGTAACATTTGATCAATAATCCTTGATGAATAAAAGTATGTATTTGTTTTATTTCCCCCAAAAATAAAATAAAAAATGTTACTGACCCCAAACTTTTGAAGGGTAGTGTTTAATGTTACAAAAGCTTTATATCTCAGATAAATGCTGTTCTAGTAAACTTTCTATTTATCAAATAATCCTGAAATAAAAGTGTAAAAAACTGTTTTCAACATTGATAATAATCATAAATGTTTCTTGATCTTACCGATCTAAAACTTTTTGACCGGTAGTGTGTGTGTGTGTGTGTGTATGTATGACAGTGTTTCTCCCGTTAAAATGAAAAAAAAAATTTCAATGTGTATGAGCCTACATTGTGCGCGCGTATCACGAACCTGAGCGCGTGCGCGTGGGCGGAGAGAGTTTGACAGTCAAAACCTGAAGCTCGACAGAAACAAGCCATGGCTTAATGATATACATTTATTACTTGTAGGCTACGCTTATTTTCTCAGAAAAACACTGACGGTAAGTTTTTTGTTCTTATATCCTATTCCAATATTACTTAATGCTTTCTTTAATCTAGTAGCCTAACGATCTGACATTCACATTTCATGGGTGAGCTCTCACACTCACAGCAGTTTGATCATCATTGTAAAGAGAAACACTGTTCATAACGTTTAACAATGACTGAGCACATTGAAGCCAAATTGTTTACGGGATTTCTTTGCTGCGTAAGAGTGTATTTTCGTATTCTACATTTATTAACACCATTCGTTAAAAATGTAATGAGTAAACTGGGCTGCACTTTGTTCTGTGGGAAAGTGGTTTGGTTTTGCAGTAGGGAGGGAGCGCTACTTCCTCAAACGCTCTTCAACATTTGCGCACGAAGCCTCGGTGGCTTTGCATGTTATGCATGTATCTAAAATTTTAAAGAAATGAATGCTACATCACAGGCTGACGTTAGTAGTTGTATGGTAGACTGGACATTACAAGGTTGTGGCTTCAAACTAGTGCTAGACCACTACTACCTGTTTTTAATGGTCGATGCCAATATCTAGGGGAACTGATGGTTAATATAATGCCAGTGTGATACAATTTAATATGCAATCAAGAATCAGATAAAATATCTAAGTTTAAACAATTATTTTACACAATATTTAGCCTTCTCTCTCTCTCTCTCTCTCTCTCTCTCTCTCTCTCTCTCTCTCTCTCTCTCTCTCTCTCTCTCTCTCTCTCTCTCTCTCTCTCTCTCTCTCTCTCACACACACACACACACACACACACAAAATGTATTATATTAACCATTGACAGCGATTTTTGAAATTACATTATGCAGAATGAGCACTAAAATAGCCAAATATGTAAAGGATCATGTTCACTTATACAGTTATCACAAAATAAACCCTGAATCCTCCTGAAGGGGTTTATTTTTTATTGACTTGATACGGCTGCTTATCAAATTATTCTGAACCCTATAAAAATATTGATTTGCAGTAAAATTATTTTACTATGTAAGAATAAGAGTGACATGCAGCTGCATTTGAGGAACAATGGACATTTATACATTTTTGCACTATTATACAAAAATATCTGATCGCAGAAAGCTGTTGACCAATCAGAATCAGCAGTTCCAGAGAACCCTGTAATAGCAACTTAAAGCTGGCATGAAACTGAAGTTGCAGTAATCTTTTCTTCCTATGAAGTGGTCCAGGTATAACGTCACTTTGTAGGTCAAGTCAGTTCGCATCACACTGGTTCCCCTGACAAATACCCAATTGGATTTTCCCATAGGCTTTTGGATTAGCACAAAAAAAACAAGCTCTGTAAAAAAAAAAAAAAAAAAAGTATGATAGGCTAATTGCACGTTTTGTCCATCAAGATCATTTTCACAGATGAACACAACTTTTATGAATTTTGAAGCCTGAATGCAGTCGAAAGAAGTAAAAAGCTAAAGCTAGCCTATAAACGAACTACACCACGGCCCCACGAATTCAACGTCAGCATCACTGAGCTTCCGACAACTCTCTTTAGTTTTTATCTGAAAACATTTTCCCAGAACGTGTGAGTTAGAATAGTTTAAGAGCACAATTATAAGCATAATGAGTAAAAGCGGACTGAGTTTATCGGCATGATGATGTTTAATCTCCTCGACAGCCTCTGTCTCATTTAGCCACTTGTTAGCAAACGCCTTTTTCAAGACACGTAACAGCTTCAAAAAATCACGAGTGGGGTAATATTGATGTCGTAGAATAAAACGTGAAAGTGTCTTGAGCTTGTTAACCACAGACCTTATTTCAGCCATTTAAACAAAATCCCATTCAAAAAACCCATTGACTTCGGGAGGACGGAAATGCTAAAATGCAAACTCGCTTCTGTTCTTTGGCCTACAAAGTGATGTCATATTGCACCACTCTATTCTGACGCATATTTGTGTGAAATGGCTTCTTGAACGAGAACAAATGTCGGGCGGGACTTGATTTTGTCCATCAGGAATTGATTGGATAGTTGGATGGTTGTGGTTTGCTATTGGTGGATCTCATGTGAGTGACGGGTTATTGCCCCGCCCTTATGTCAGTACACACGTCATCAGAGAAGAGAACAGAGAACAGTTATTTTGATTAATAATTACGAGGACATGGGAATAAAAAAAAAAAAAATAGAGATGTGCACGGATAAATCTTGGCATATAATAAACTGTAATATTCCATAAAAAAATTAAGAATGGTCATGTTTGATTTCATGGTGACTTTAATAATTGGCTTGTCTTTCACTAGTCGTGATAATAGCCAATGAGACGGATACAAAATTCCTGTAATTACCATTTATTTTGCACAATATTCACTCAAATTTGAGTTTTCAAAATATTCGAAAACAACATACACTACTGTGAAAAATGTTTTTGATCTCATAACATTTCAGTTCAGATGCTGTATTCAGGTAAATAAATTTAAAAAACGAATGTAAAAATTGCATGTTTTCACTTTTTACAGTGGAACGAGAAGGACAGGCATGATTGTCAACGGATGATAATCTCAATAAGCCTAAGCATTCATAGATGTATTATACATAGATGCAAGATAGTGCTGTATTAATTTACATATATGGAAAAAGAAATATAGTCGCTTCATCCCGTTAAACAAATTTACTAAGGTTTGATTAATGTGCTTTGACATACAATACAAACATCACAGAGACTAAACAGAAGCCACAGAAAACGTCTAGAAGTCTTCAGTTGATCTGCTTACGCTATTGTTTACACCGCTATCATCTTTGCTAGTTACTGTTCTCCGTTTAATTGTAAGCCAAGTGCTCTGTTTTATAGGTGTCCTGTGTTTACAGAGGCGATCTGAGCGGGTCATGTGACCGGTTTATGTCATGACTCATGTGTCATTTGCGTTCCCCTCTCTCCACGCCAAATGCAAACAGGCTTTCCGCTTCTGTGCTCGAATCCACGCCTCTCCCCACTGATAAAGACCTATTGTTTCACCCCAGGCCGAGTGTGAGGCTGTAATGATGATGTGAGAGTTTTAGAATATTAGGTTATTGAGGACGTTGCAGGATTTGAGGAAATTTCAGCCCTGCTGATCCTGCCGTCCTGTGATTTGGCTTGCAAATATCCTTATTTCTGGCAAACCCTTTGTTCCGTGTGTGAAGAACACGATTAGACCCTCGAGACTAAAGAGGACGTCCAGTTTTTGAATTGGCCGTCCTGGAAAGTTTCCATTTATGTGTCAGTCTAACCAGCTGTGTGGTGAGAGATTTATAGATTGGCTTTTTTAAGTCTACCCATACACATAATGCACCGGTTTCTCCACCAGTCATTCCATATCAGTTATGCAATCAGTGGGTCATGGGAGTTGGAATTAAGGGTCGGGAAATCTATATTGGGAAAGCCTCGGACCATGCTGTGTTTCTGAAATTATTTCTATAACAATAAACCTTTTGGGAACAGTTAGGCCTATATCAACTACTGTTAAATCTCTGATTTAGATTTGAGAGTCATATAACCAAAATCATTTTGGTTTTGTGTTGTGTAAAGCAACATTGCTTGAGCTATTCTGATCTTTAACAAGTCCACGCTCATTATGAAACCGCTTGTTTATGACCTTACAGCACCCGTAACACCTTGTGACACATTCACTTGTGTATAACGCTTTATACAACAAGCTGTGAGGACATTTACGCAATACTTATAGGGAAGCTGAGTTTTATATTTTCTGGAAACTGTTGGGATGTGGCGGCTGAGGTGTTAAATGGTCTGAGTAAAAAAAAAATCATGATATTTCAGGCGGTTGATCTTTTCCTGCATGTTTCAATGTCGGTTGCACCACATGACTTTGATTTGTTTTTAGGGTTTTAAAATATTAATAAGCTATTTGTTTTGTTACATTTATCAAATAGTAATATTAATTAACATGTAAACCAATTTTTACGTTTTTTTTTCTACCAGAACACTCATCGAATTTTTACCTCCCAAAAATGTCAAAATTAGTTTTAATTAAAAAATTCAAAACATGTTCATCATAGAAGAGATGTATTCAAGTCATTGTACGCATGAACTGCATAAATGAATATTTCTGGACAAAAAAAAAATAAAATAGCACTGACCCTTCATTCATATAATGTCTATAGCAAGCAGCACTAATAACTGTTGATATTACTTATAGGGTTTTATGGTTGTTGTTATTCTATTTGCATCTTTATGTCAAATATTGTCTCTATATGTGGCCTAATATTTTCAAGAGAAAAGAGAAAAAAATGTAATACTCTATAACGGCTACCAAAATAAAATGAAGTTGGTTATAAAAGCTGGTTACTTTTTATAATGTACAACGTATAATAAAGTGCAGTGTTTATAACTGTGTGCCCTGTGTATCTGATCATCTGCAGCACGGACACAGATATGAGCAAATCAGCAAATCCGTGAAAACAATAGCGCCTTAAGCAATATCCTCGTTGCCTTACCGGCCAAGCCTGGAGAATCAGGACTCTTACGTACTTGGCTTGGTTTGTTTGCTTGTTTTGTGGGCAGGGAGGTTGAGGAACAGGCCGTCTTAGAAAGGATTTCATGATTAATTGCAAATCCGTCTTGTTTGATATTAGAGGCTATACTGCGAGGAGCCAGTCAGTAAAGTAAGAACTTTAATCTTACCGTGTTGTAGCAGTTAGTGTGGCTGAGGTATGTACAACTCATTTCTCATTTTTTACCTAAATATGCCAAATATGGGGTCTTGAGTTCTATTGACGTCAATGAAGGAGCTTTCAACATCAAAAAATGTCTGTAAAGACTAATCAAAACCTGCAATGGTTCTCTGCAATGCTGTGACATGGGAAGGTTTTAGATGCTTTCTATTCTTTCTCCTTACAGCGATTCCTCATAGACGTGGGATATATAGCACAGAAACACGTTTGTTTATAATGCTGCCATCGGTGTATTAACAGGAAATCGG